TCGAGGGCTACAACGAGCCATTCAACCATGACAGGTCTGTGGACCTGTGCACGGCCATGGCGAAGACCATGGTGCAGAACCTGCTGGATCGACTTGGGGACCTGGACAACTTGTTGGGCTGCTGACTCTTCATCTCCGATGGCAGGCTAGTCCAGAGGCACGAGCGTAACGCCATCTGTCAAGAGAACCTGACGTCTCTTGTAGCCATGTTTTGGGCGCAGCAGATGAACGAGATCCACGAGGTACGTGCATCCTGAACTCTGGACACCCAGAGCATCTGATGGATCGGATCGTTGTCCAATGGTTGAGTACGTGCTGTCCCTTGTTACCCCTTGCCATGTTTTGCTTTAACTTAGCCCGCCAAATTCCTCTTGCTTGTTTCCCGCATGTCAGGGATTGACAAGCGGAAGGCATTTAAGGAACTGCGAAGCTTCTACCCTGTTCATGCTGCTGCCCCGAAGACTGAGAAGTCGTTCCATGCGGGTCTGACGGCCATGTTGAAGACCCCGGATTGGAAGATGCAGGGATTCGAGCCGCGGGCAGGAGAAAAAAGAGCCGCCAGCCCGTCAGTGGTGAAAGAATGCCGCGAACCGCGAATGTAACCATGTGTCGCGAAGTGATTGTTACGAGCCAAATGCGACGCGGCCATGTCGCCTAAGTGGAGAGCCGTGAGATGCGGACACGTGGCAGCAAGCTGAGTCAACAGATGGTCGTCGGCCAATGAGAGGCTGCCGTCCGGTAGGGTGAGTGACGTCAGCGACGGGAAGGAAGTAAGGCCGTTCAAGAAGCGTCGCGCGCATAGAAGCCGGCCCTGCGACAGTGCCATGTGCGAGCGAGTCGCACATGCGATGCGATGCCACCGGCGACAGGCGAGGATGAAGCAACCGTGAAGATCGTATCTCGAGACCCCCTCCAACATGGCAAAACCCTAACGACGAAGAATTCTCGGACTGGTGCTGATGCTGATGTTGATCGGGACCTGAGAAACTGCCACGTGGCGACGATCGAGCGCAGATGAAGATGCGATCCAGCAGATCGTCCGGCAATTGGTGGATCGAATTCGACTCGATCTGAACGTTGCGATCGAGGTTGCCTCGTCCCGTGGCCGTCTCATCCTTAGCGATGGGATCTGGTGTACTGGGAGGATCGTCTACAGCCTTCATCCGTGAATCCGCCATAGCTTCGTACCATAGCTGTTCGCTCTATTTCCGCCCGGCTGAGTGGTCCGCGAGGCGGCGGGGGAAGATAAATAGTAGTAGAGGAGTCGGAAAGAATAGGAATGCTAGGAGGGTCACCATTCTAGACCATAGCTACTGTGAATATCTGAATCATGAATGGGGCTGTGTTCTGCAAAACCGGGTAGTGGAGAGCAGAGCACACGTAGGGCTGGGAAATTCAGAGCACAAGCGACCACCAAAAAGAAAATGAAATTTGAAAAGCGCGCGAAATTGCTTGCGGTTCGATAGGGGTGACGCGTTGCGGATAGACATGATAGAATGACGCGACATCACCCTCGATGGTGATACACATGTCTATGCAAACATAGGAGATACACATGTTTGACACACCCCCTAGACTGCATAGGGGCAGGTCCTGAACAAGCAGCTCAAGGCGGCACTACTAGTCCAGCCTCTGAGACAAGGGTCTAAAAGACCAGTCAGAAGGAGTACAGACAAGGCAAGAGCAAGCCCAGGGCGACACTACTAGTCCAGCCACTGGGAGAGGACACAAGTCCAGTCTGAGTACACATATAAAGGACAATACAAAGTCAAGGCCCTAGTAAGTGAGAGGCTACAGGAACTAGACCAAGCTGTACACAGTGCCGCTGATGATCTTTAGGCACAAGCGCCTTCGTAAAGATATCAGCTGTGTTGGCACCTGAGGCCAAGTGTACTACGCGAGCCTGGCGTCGTTGTTGTAGCTCACGCAGGAGGAAGTACCGCAGCTGAATATGCTTTGCTCTGCCCTCGAGTCGAGGCTCCTGACACAGGAGGATCAAGGCCCTGTTGTCAGCGAACAGGACCAGGGCAGAGCTAGGCCGCTCACCTAAGTCTGTGAGCAAGAAGGTCAGCCAGCGGAGCTCCTGTGCCGCCATGGCACCAGCGTAGATCTCGGCCTCAAAGCTGGACTGGGCAACAGACGAGGAGCGGGTAGCTCTCCACGAGTAAGGACCACTAGACCACGTCCTCCTAGCACTAACCCCGTGCCTGAAGTACTAGCAAGATAACGCAAAACCCTCTTAGCGCAGACCAGTGCTGCGGTCGGTGTCTGCCTGTGGCCACAAAGCGAGCCAGGATGCTGAGAGGGTATGCGAGATCTGGGCGAGTGCAAGTCATCAGGTACATGAGGCAACCCACCAGCTCTGCGTAGGGGCCGCTGGGCTCTACCGACTCCTCAGAAACTGGAGCAGACAGTCTGTGGTCTACAGGTAGAGGGGTGGGCTGTGCAGAGGAGAACTGAAGGCCGAACCACTGAAGGACCTGGCGCACCAAGTGTGACTGAGTCAGGGTGATGGTGCGCGATGCTCTGTCCCTGGAGATCTGCAAGCCAAGGTAACGGCGCAGTTCTCCAAGGTCACTGCACGTGTGTCTCTTCAGCAGCTCTGCCTTCACTGAGGCCAGTGCGTCCCTGTCTGCTGTGGCAAAGACCAGGTCGTCGACGTAAACAAGGATGTAGAACGGAGTCTGGCCAGCACGAACGAAGAGTGAGGGCTCTGCGGAAGACGGAAAGAATTGCAGGTCAGCAAGGGTAGCACGCAGCGTGTCGTGCCACTCACGGGGAGCCTGGCGAAGGCCGTAGACAGGGCGCCGCAAGAGCCACTGGGTCCCAGGAGGGAAGGTGCCAGTAAAGCCCTGAGGGCGACGCAAGTAGACCTGCTCGTGTAGGCTGCCCTGAAGGAAGGCAGTGGAGAAGTCGAGGGAGTGAAGCTCGTAGTCACGCTGAGCAGCTAGGTGTAACAGAACCCGAAGAGTAGTCATCTTCGAGGTCGGAGCAAAGGTCTGGAAGAAATCCACCCCCTCACGCTGACTAAAGCCTCTAGCCACGTAGCGCGCCTTGAACACAGGCGGCTCTCCAGGAGGGCGCTTCACCTTGAAGAGCCAGCGGCCATCGACTACATTCACCCGAGGTGGGGGAACGGCGTCGACGAAGGTGCCGGTGGATCTCCAAGATGCCATCTCCTGCTCCATGGCAGCTATCCACTGCAAGGCCCAAGGTCCCGAGGTCGCCTCAGCGTAAGTGCGAGGGGTCGCGATGTCGAAAGCGTCTGGGTCACCCTCAGGGACTAGCAGCATGGAACAGAGAAGGGGAGCAGCCTCGGACAGGAAAGCAAGCTCGAACTGGCGGTCCTCCAGGACGTCATTGCCGAGGGCAGGAGCACCCCTGACAGACGGAGGACAGGCAGGGTCAGAGACCAGAGCAGTGGCGTAGTCAAGGCGGTGGGTAGAGGCGAAGTCAGCGACCGCAGCTACCAGAGCGTCAAGGCACGAGACCGGAACAGACGGGTCGGTAACGAGAGAGGCAAGGACCCGAGGAACAAGAGGACGAGCGGCACGAAGTTAGTCAGACAGAGGGGGGGGTGCAACAACAAGGGAGGACGGAGGAGGCGACGGGAGAAGGGGAGGACGAGACGCGTGGGAACGAAGCAACATAGGGTGGGAGCGCAAGACAGGGGAGGCAGGACGAGCACGAGAGGGACGGTGAGACCAGACATGAGACGAAGGAGTCGGGTCAGGAGACATGGGAGGGGACACACGGGGGGAACGAGGGGGAAGACGAGCCGGGGACGAGTCCGGCGGAGGGAACACAGGGCCGTACACGGGAAGAGGAGGAGACGGCCGGAGAGGAACAAACGCAGGGTCAGGGGACGGAAAGCCGAGCAGGCGAAGGGCTGACACCGGCGGGGACTGCTGCTGCGGCGGCACAACGCCGACACCGGGACCGCAAGCTGCTCCTCGGCTACCACCGGCACACTCCACGCCACCACCCCCAGAGGGAACACCTCCAGGGCCCGAAACCCCTCGAGGACCGGTACCACCCCCAGGGGTACCGGGACTAGCACGCACTCCAACGCCAGCACCCCCAGAGTCAAGGAACGGGTGCTGCGACGGCGGCGGCGGCGGCAGAGTTTACAACGGCTGCGACAACAGGGGCGACAGCGGCGGCAGAGGCGGTGGAGGAGGGGACGCCTGGGGAGGGGCAGCCGGCAAGGACTGCGCCGCACGACCACCAGAGTCAGAAGACTCCTCAACCGGGACCACCGACGGAAGAGGGGTGACGTGGGATACACCAGAGGGGGCAGGACGGGGAGGAGGAGGGGGAGGGGCAGGGACTACCGAGGAAGGAGTGACCAGGAACAGTGGGGGGGTAACCGGGGGACCGCGGTGGGGGGAGCGACGGTAGTAGGAGACGGACTCGTCAAAGGTGACGTCGCGAGAGTGAAAGAAGCGGTGAGTTGGCAGGTGGTAGAAGTGCCAGTCGGACACGTCAAGGGGAAAACCGAGGAAGACGCAGGAAAGGGTGCGGGCAGTGAGCTTGTCCGTGCCAGGCAGGGCGCGACGGGGCTAAAAGGCGTGATGGGGCCCAGGAGGGGCTCGTGGGGGCCAGGGGGCGCGACGGGGCCCAGGAGGGGCGCGATTGGGCTAGGGGGTCGCGACGGGGCCAGGGGGGCGCGACGGGGCTAGGGGGTCACGACGGGGCCAGGGGAGCGCGACGGGGCGCAGGAGGGGCGCGACGGGGCCCTGGAGGGGCGCGACGGAGCTTGGGGGTCGCGACGGGGCCAGGGGGGGGCGACGGGGCCCAGGAGGGTCGCGACGGGGCTAGGGGGGCGCGACGGGGCCAGGAGGCGCGGCAGGGCCCAGGAGGGGCGCGACGGGGCTAGGAGGCGCGACGGGGCCCAGGGGGAAGCGGCGGGGCCTAGCTAGGGTACGGGCGGAAGCGGTAGGTGGGGGATCCTAACCTACGCGTGATACCATTTCAAAGTGAAAAAAGTGAATGATGAGTAGAGAGAGAGTACAGGTGAATATACCTAAGTGTTGTACCCTCTAAGAGGTGGCCCTATACAGTCTATGCAAACATAGGAGATACACATGTTTGACACTAAGTCCTTCGTAAAAAAATCACGAAATTTACATTTTGCGAAGGAGACATTTACAGCCAACATCGCCACCCTGAGGAGCTAATATTGCCCAGCCACAAGCACAAACTCGACTCCTCCCCACTTGTGCGCCTCGACTCGGATCCAATCCTCGTTTTCTCCTGCTGCGGTGTCTGGTGTGGCATCTGACGCGGCATCTGATGTGGCATCTGATTTGGCAGGAAAGAGCAGTGCGTGCCCTTCATTTTGGAATACGGCTTCACCCCGCGGGCCAAATAGAGCCACACCCTGAAAGAGCGGAGGAGGTGGGGAACACAGCAGGCAGGGGAGGGAAAGCGATGAGGCATGGCAGGAGAGTGTTGGTAAGAGGAGACGACACATGGCAAGAGCAGCGAGAAAGAGTGGCCCTTGTTGTGAGTTACAGCTTCACCCTGTGGGTCTTACAAGGCCACACACACATTCAGCACCCTGTGGTAACAAGATGGTCGAAATGAGGACCGGGATGGGATCGAGTGAGAGTAGGACATAGGGGCACTTGAAAGGCGCTTCAAGAGTGAGAATCCGATGGTGCGACAACAGCTGGAATAAGCAGAATGGGAATGGGGTGGTGCAATTTCTAGTGGGCTCACGACGGGGTTGTGTGCAACAGCCGGCATGCGAAAGAGAAAGGGAAAAAGAAATGAGTGGCATGAGCAGGAATGGCATGAAGGTACATGGAGCACACGCGCCAAAGCTGGAAATAAAAAGAGATGGGAGCACATGGGAGGGAATCCATGGGAATCCTTGGGAATCCATGAGCCAGATATGGCTCCCCCGGTACAAGTGGCATGAGACTCAGCACAAACGAAATGTGCAGAACGCACACCAACAGGCACGGTAAGAAACTGAAACTATACCATACGAGCGCTGCTTCTCGTTGCCCCGCCCCCGCCCCTGAACCCCACTGGTGAGGATTCTATATTTGAGGCGCCTCAGAAATCAACACACACGGTAAGAAACCAGTTCAACTCTATTCTCTTTCACACGAGCACTGCTGCTCTTTGACCCGACCCTGAACCCCATTGCACCTCTAGGACGTATGCAAGGGCGGACTGAGTGGAAGCCAATGGAATGTTGACAGCTGTACCGGGCCGCATGTACACATGAAGCATGAGCTGTTGGGGGGGGGTTGAAGAGGTTGGAAGGGGTGGGGAGGAAGGTAATGGGGAGGAGAGGTTAAGGGATGATCTACGAGCGGAACAGAAAGGGGAGTGAGGAGGTGCAATGGTAGCGGTTTGGAGCTTTTGAGTTGACTCACAAGTCACCTGGAGCTTTTGGGGTGAGAAGGGGGTTTGAGAGGTTGGGAGTGGATGCAAATTAGGATACTTGAAGGGAAGAAGCTCTGTGAACACAAGTTTTGGTGTGCTAGGAGATGGAGGAAGCGAGAGGGAGTGAGATAGTAAGAGAGGGAGTGAGAGAGAGAGGGAGTGACAGGGTGCTATAGACACAGATATAGGGAGTGAGGAACAAAGAAGTGGAGAGTGAGACAGGGAAGGCATGGCAAAACGAGACAGGAAACGCACAAAGTGAGAGAGCGGCGGGGGAGTGCAGATTTCCCCAAACCGACCAGCCACCACCCGAACCTGTGCTGCCCCTGACCCTTGTGCTTCCCTTTCCGCTGCTGCATTCTCCCCCTCCTCCCCTTCCCCTCCCCCCTCCCCCGGACCAGGGGGGGCAGGGGCGACAGGGAGGAGGATGCAGGGCGCAAGAGACGCGGAGCGGAGGTGAGAGAGCACCAGATGCGGGGGAGAAGGGGAGACGGGGGCGGAGGAGGCGGAGGAGGCGGAGGAGGCGGAGGAGGGGGAAGTGGCGGGCGAAGGGGAAGAGGAGGCGGAAGAGAGGGCGGGGGAGGGCGCGTCATCATCCCGCCCCAGGCTTTTAACGTCTGACGCCCAGTAAACCTCGATCCCGCGTCCCTGCGCCTGCCCCTGTCCCCCCGCATTCCATTCCCCTTCTTCACCCCAGTCAATCTCCCCCCAATCTTCCGCCTCTTCCCCCCATTCCTCCTCCTCCGCCTTTCCCCCTTCCGCCAGCATGTACACTAGGGATTCTAGCGCGCGTCCGAGGGGAGCGGGGGGGAGTGCGAGGGAGGGGAGGGAGAAGAACTCGTCAACCGCAATGATGGGGGAAAGGGGGGAAGATGCGCCGATTGCGCCTTCCCCGCCTTCCGCATCTCCGCCTCCCCCGCCTCTACTTCTCCGTGGACCAAACGCGCGCGCTGTATCCCCCTCGGCGGAAACTTTGCTCGCGGTGATCGTTTCCAATGCCCGCCTGCTCACTCCCCCTCCCTTCCGCGCAGTCCGCGCAATCTCCGCTGCTGCGACCGCTTCCCCCTCCCCTGTCGCCGCACGGCTTGCGCGCACGCGCTGTCGCGGAGTTTCCCCCCATTTCCCCGCGCCATTTCTACGGCCTAGTAATCGTACTCTCTGCCCATTCAAAGCGTCTAGATTCAATGCATGCGATTGTTTCCGAGTCCCTAGAGGGCGGAATCCACTTGAGATACCGTGCACAACCGCGGCGCTAGCTAAAGAATCCGACCGTTGCTGTTGGCGGCAAGTGCTAGAAGCGAACCGCGAAAATTGCCGTGCTTGCAATGCGGACGCGGGACGCGAGGCAAGGGGTGGCCCTACGGCGATGATAGTACGCGCAGGCTCGAGAAGCAGAGCTGACGCCATGAATTGGTTGGGTGAACCGTGAACGAAATGTGGAGAATCTATTCTCGAGGGAAATGGGACAACAGGCAGGAGGATAGAGGAGGAGGCTGGTGACGTGTCACGCGAACAGGGTAAAAATCGTGACGCTCTTGGTAGGGGGCGGAAACCCGCGCTATGCGTGGGCTCAAAGGTTCTCCTTCAGTCAGTTTCGAAATCCGCCGGGTTACATTTTACAAACAAAAAGTGCCCTCTCTACGAATTTGAACCAGAGTACCCATTTTAAATAGCACATCAGTGTGAAGGAACCTAAACGTGGTGGGCAACAAGAATATCGTTTACGCACACTAAAAACAAAACCCGAACAATGACGGGAGGGGAGAGGTGAGGCTTCATAAATCTTTAGTATGGTACTCTGAGGCAGGCTTCTGGATAGGATTAATAATACTCTTTCTCGTAAGGGTACTCTCTGCTAAAGTAAGAACTAAATGAATGAACTAGAAGGAGAAACCTATAACAAATACTAGTTGGTTGTACTCACTAGAAGCATACCCCAGTCTAGCCTATAACTTCTACATAGCTAATATGTATAAGTTGACACACCCTCTAGGCTAGACAAGGGGTGAAGTTAAGCAAGAAGCAAACAGCTCAGGGTGGCACTACTAGTCCAACCACTGAGGCTGGGGTCTGGAGACCAGTCAGCAAGAGTACTGTTGGGCTGAGAAATGCCCTTGGATCTTTCCAGAGACTAAGTCCCAGTTGTAAAAGACTTGAGTAGTGCAGCGGAAGTTGAGTAGATGAACCCTTGTACTAGTATATGAGAACAAGTGATTGATTAAAAGAAACAAGCATACAGCAATATATAGAAAGTAGGAAGGTAAAGCAGTTGTAGAATACAGTTAAAGGATCGGCGGTTCATTTACCATCCTTGCAGTTGTAACGGTCAGTCGCAACCTCCGGTTGCGACTCTTCGTGTCCATTCGTGTTCTTTGTCCGCCCCTTCGTGAAACCTCCGTTGACTCGCGTACCCGTTATGACTTTCCTCAAGTGTAGTGTTTAGACTTCACAAACGCTTAAGTCTTTGAGATATTTCCAACAAGTACAAACAAGTCTACAGCAAGCCAGGGCGGCACTACTAGTCCAGCCACTGGAGGTAAGGCCACAAGGCCAGTCTCACGAGTATATATAATAGAGAGTACACAATCAGGATCCTAACAGGTAAGTAGCTACAGGAACAAGACCAAGCTGTACACAGTGCCGCTGATGATCTTTAGGCGCAAGCGCCTTAGTAAAGATATCAGCTGTGTTGGCATCTGAGACCAAGTGAACTACGCAGGCCTGGCGGCGCTGCTGTAACTCACGCAGGAGGAAGTACCGCAGCTGGATATGCTTCGCTCTGCCCTCAAGCCGAGGCTACTGACACAGGAGTATCATGGCCCTGTTGTCAGCGTACAGGACCAGGGCAGAATTAGGCCGCTCACCTAAGTCAGTGAGCAAGAAGGTCAGCCAGCGGAGCTCTTGTGCCGCCATGGCACCAGCGTAGATCTCAGCCTCACAGCTAGACTGAGCCACAGACGACGAGCGAGTGGATCTCCAAGAGATAGCACCCGAACCAAGGCTAAAACAGTAGCCCTGCGACGACCTGAGCATCTCAGAGTCGTCTGCCCAAGAAGCGTCTGTCTGCCCAGTAAGGACCACCGGCCTGCGTCCTCCTAGCACTAACCCCATGCCCGATGTACTAGCAAGATAACGCAAAACCCTCTTAGTGGCTGACCAGTGCTGTGGTCGGTGTCTGCCTGTAGCCACAAAGCGAGCCAGGATGCTGAGAGGGTATGCGAGATCTGGGCAAGTGCAAGTCATCAGGTACATGAGGCAACCCACCAGCTCTGCGTAGGGCCACTGGGCTCTACTGGCTCGTCAGGAACGGGAGCGGAGAGCCCATGGTCTACAGGTAGAGGTGTGGGCTGTGCGGAGGAGAACTGAAGACCGAACCTGTGAAGGACCTGACGCACCAAGTGTGACTGTGTCAGAGTGATGGTGCGTGCTGCTCTGTCCCTAGAGATCTGCAGGCCAAGATAGCGACGCAGCTCTCCAAGGTCAGTGCAGGTGTGTCTCTTCAGCAGCCCTGCCTTCACAGAGGCCAGTGCGTCCCTGTCAGCAGTAGCGAAAACCAGGTCGTCTACGTAGAGGATGTAGAACGGAGTCTGGCCAGAACGCACAAACAGTGAGGGGTCAGCAGAGGACGAAAAGAACTGCAGGTGTGCTAACGTGGCACGTAGCGTGTCGTGCCACTCGCGGGGAGCCTGACGCAGGCCGTAGACCGGGCGCCTGAGAAGCCACTGGGTCTCAGGGGGAACGTACCAGTGAAGCCCTGTGGTCGGCGCAGGTAGACCTGCTCGTATAGGCTGCCCTGAAGAAAGGCAGTAGAGAAGTCGAGGGAATGAAGCTCGTAGTCGCGCTGTGCTGCTACGTGTAGCAGCGCCCGAAGAGTGGTCATCTTCGGGGTCAGAGCGAAGGTCTGGAAGAAGTCAACCCCCTTGCGCTGACTGAAACCTCTGGCCACGTAGCACGCCTTGAAGACAGGCGGCTCTCCAGGGGGGCGCTTCACCTTGAAGAGCCACCGACCATCGACTACGTTCACCCCAGGCGGGGGAACTGCGTCGACGTAAGTGCCGGTGGACCTCCAAGATGCCATCTCCTGCTCCATGGCAGCTATCCACTGAGAGGCCCAAGGCCCCGAGGTGGCCTCAGCGTAAGTGCGAGGGGTTGGGATGTCGAAGGCGTCTGGGTCACCGTCAGGGACTAATAGCATGGAGAAGAGATGGGGAGCAGCCTCGGAAAGGAAAGCAAGCTCGTACTGCCTGTCCTCTAGGACGTCACTGCCAAGGGCAGGAGCACCCCCGACGGACGGAGGACGGGCAGGGTCAGAGACCAGAGCGGTAGCATAGTCAAGGCGACGGATAGAGGCGAAGTCAGCGACTGCAGCTACAAGCGCGTCAAGGCGCGAGACAGGAACAGAAGGGTCAGTAACAAGAGAGGCAAGGACCCGAGGGACAAGGGGACGAGCGGCACGGAGGTAGTCAGAGAACGGAGGAGGTGCAACAGCAAGGGATGAGGGAGGAGGGGATGGGAGGAGGGGAGGGCGAGACGAGCGGGAACGAAGCAACATAGGGTGGGAGCGCAGGATAGGAGAGACGGGACGAGCACGGGAGGGACGGCGAGACCAAACGTGAGACGCAGGTGTAGGGTCAGGGGACAGCGGAGGGTACACAGGAGGGGAACGAGGCTAGAATGGCACACCTGTGGAGCTCTTGAAAATAACGTTTTGTTTAGGGGCAAATTTCTTGGTTCGTTTCCTATGACGTAATGGTATGGGAAGCCGAAATGACCCAACAGTGAATGTGTTTTTGGAGGGGCAGGCAGCAGCCCGCGTTTTTTACCAAGCCGTAGGCTACGAAATCGAATTGCGCTTGCGACATTTTGCACTGGCGATAGATTTTACGACCACAGATTTGCACGGTTAGCATTTCGACCAAATGGGGCCAAGCCTCGTTTTTGCCGGAGTAGTGAACCTCGGTCCAACTTGAAATTCAAGTTGGGCCCACTTGGTGTTGCCTACAGGCAATGGGGCCTGGGTGACGGGTGGCGCGCTTCTTGCGACTTTTCCTGAGCCACGTTTCCCATCTTACGTCATGTGTTTCCAACCAATCCGGTAACTGCCTCTTCTCGCCCAATTTCCCCTGCTCGCATTTCACGACAGTGTACCCTCTGCCCAGGGTCCTCGACATCTGACAAAATCCATCAGTTTGTCTGATTTTCAGACTTTTTTTTGTCAAATGTAACTTAGGTTGTTACTGTACACTATACTGGATTGTGGCTTAGAGGGTACAACACCCTAGTCTATATATCCTTGTACACACACATTCTAGTTCAATCATTTTCTTTCTGATATGGTATCATAGTAGATTAGATCCCCCCCTAGCCCGCTCACGCTTCCGCCCCTACGTTCCTAGCCGGCCCCCTGGCCGTCGCGCTCGTCCCTAGCCGGCCCCCCTGGCCGTTCGCGCCCGTCCCTAGCCGGCCCCCTGGCCGTTCGCGCTCGTCCCTAGCCGCCTCCCTGGTCGTTCGCGCCTGTCCCTAGCCGGCCCCTGGCCGTCGTGCTCGTCCCTAGCCGGCCCCCTAGCCGTCGCGCCCATCTCTAGCTGGCTCCCTGGCCGTCGCGCCCGCTCCTAGCCGGCCCCTAGCCGCCGCCGCTGCCGTCTCCAGCCGCCTCACGGTCGCTCCTGTCGTCGCGGCCGCCCCTCGCCGCCGTCGCGGCTGTCCCTAGCCGCCGTCGCGGCTGTCCCTGGCCGCCGTCGTGGTTGCCCCTGGCTGTCGTCGCGGCTGTCCCTGGCCGCCGTCGCGGCCGTGTCTACTTGCCGCCCGCTGGCCGGCCCCTGCCTCGGGTTTGGCCCGTTCTTCCCGATCAGCACCGCCCTCCGAACCCCCCCCCCCCGGTACCGTACTACATCGCTTTGCACTGCACTGCACCACTTTGTACCGCACTGTACCGCACTGCACCACTTTGTACCGCACTGCACCGCTTTGCACCGTACTGCATCGCACTATACTGCACTGTACCGCACTGCACTGCACTACACCTCACTGCACAGCACTGCACCGCACTGTCCTACTCTACACTGCCCTCTATTGTCACTCATGGCGGCGGTGCTTTGCTTTGACGCTGAGGGCCAGCCGATTGAGTTTGATGCGTGGCTTGCTGACCTCCGTCGCCATTCACTGGTCAGCGGTAGGATGGCCACTCGCTGTCTGTCCATCTTGATGGTACCCTCCCCTTCCCTGACCCCCCCGCTGCCCTGTCTCCTGACCCCTCGTCCGCTGAGCATGAGTCCGCTGCAGCCGCTGCCCTTGCTCGCTCTGTCTGGCTGTCCTGTGACGCTGTTGCACAGCTTGCTATTAGCAATGCCCTCCCCCTGTCCGAGCGACGTCGCTTCAGGTCTATCACCACTGCCCAGGCTTTCCTAGATGCTGTTGTCCAGCGCTATTCCACCCCGCCTTCTGCCTCGGTCAGTCGTCTGATCCTC